AGAGGCAATCCTGTATAGGAAAGCAAGCAGTTTCTGCCTTGACTTCCTTCAATGATGGACTGTGATCTGGAATTCAAAGCTAAAATAAACCCTTCTTCATTCCCAAAGTTTCTTTTGGTCAGACAGAGTATTTTATCATAACAACATTAAAACTCTTTAAAAATAGTTTTGAGACTTTTTATTTTATATCTATAAGTATTTTGTCTGAATGTATGCCTGTGCAGTGCATTCAGGACCCACAGAGGACAGGGAAGGCATTGGATCCCCTTGGATTGGCATTACAGACAGTTGTGAGCTGCCATGTGGGTGCTGGGAAGTGAGCCCTCGTCCTCTGAAAGATCAGCCAGTGCTCTTAACAACTGAGCCATCTCTCCAGCCCCACATTAAAAGCCTTAAATCAAACTTATTTTAAAGTAATTTTGATGATATGGTAAACAATTTTTCAAATTTAAGTTTTTCCTTGCTTATAGCCAGAAACATGATTGATTTAAAGCTTTTAATATTTCATTCGTGTGTGTGTGTGTGTGTGTGTGTGTGTGTGTGTGTGTGTGTGTGTGTGAGAGAGAGAGAGAGAGACAGACAGACAGACAGACAGAGACAGACAGAGACAGAGAGACAGGACAGAGATCAGGACTTGCAGGAGATGATTATCTCTTTCTACCATGTGGCTCCTGGAAATCAAACTCAGGTTGTCAGGTTTGGTGACAGGTCTGTTGACATGCTGAGCCATCTGATAGTCTCCAACATTTGATCTTCCATTCTTCATAAATCAGTTCATTTAGTAGCCATGTAGCAGTTTTGTGGTTTTCTTCCTAGGTTATGATATTATCTGCAAATAAACACAATGCATAAACTGATGTATAGATTTTCCTTGGTGTGGGGGACCAGCTCCCACATTTATTTACCCCAGGGACTCTTGAGGAATGAGGGATAAGAGACTTAGTTAGAAATAAAGAGAGGGCAGAGAGAAACGCAGGATAGCCTCAGGTGGACCTGGATCCTTATGCACCAACCCAGAACTTTATTCCAAAGGGCTTTTTATAACAACGCCAAGGGGCGGGTCAAAGGACCTCTCCCTTACTAGATACAGCCAAGTGTAGACCCTTCCAAACACCTGGTACTCAGGCCCGTGGTCCAATCATCCTCTTAATGCATTCCTGCTGGGTAAAGCCCCTAGGAAACCTAGGTGCACTGCAACACCTTGGATGATCTTCTGTGAGGAAATTTGTTTTCCTAGTTTACCAGAGATTTTATTATGAAAGAACTCTCATATTTTGTCAGTAGCCTTTTCTGTGTCTATAAAAAAAAAAAATTGTTCTAAGTTAATTGGATGAACTACATTGATTTTTGAAGGTTAAGCCAACTTTGAATTCCTAGGACAAATTCTATTTGATTACAACACACAATTCCTCTTATACGCTGTATTTAGTTGGCCAAAATTTTTACTAACATTTTTGAATCTATGTTCAGAAGAGATACTAGTCTGAAATTTTTTATTTTGATATCTTTGTTTTATTTGGATTAGAATGCTGTTTTCACAAAATGTGTCAGAAACTAGGTTTTCTTTCAGTTTTCTCTAGCTTTTTTTTTTTTTTCTGGTTTTTCAAGACAGGGTTTCTCTGTGTAGCTTTGGGCCTTTCCTGGGACTCACTTGGTAGCCCAGGCTGGCCTCGAACTCACAGAGATCCGCCTGGCTCTGCCTCCCGAGTGCTGGGATTAAAGGTGTGCGCCACCACCGCCCGGCTTCTCTAGCATTTTTTAAAACTGGTACTTTAAGAAATGTTTTATAAAAGTTACAGCTGATATCATCTGGTCCTGGAGTTTCCTTTGAGAAAGAGTTTCTAATTAGGATTTAGTTTCATTAGTTGATATGTTATTGTTTCCTATTTTTGTGTAGTTTGTGTTTTTCCAAGACTTCTTTCATTTCATATACTTTGTAGGATTAATTGGCATAGTACTTTTCATGTTTATTTTTTATTTTTGATGACTTATGGTAATATCTCCTCATAGGTCCTTACATAGGACAATTGTGCTCTATTGTTGATAAGTCTGGATATATGTTATCAATTTTAGTCAATGTTTTCAAATGAGTTTTTTATTTTATTAATTTTTGTTGTTACTCTATTTAACTGATTTCTCTGCTTCCTTTATTATAGCTTTGTTTATGCTGCTCTTAGGATTAATTTACTTTAAAATTATTTTCTAGCTTCTTGTTGAGTAGATGTGGAGGATATAGGAGGACTTGAGGAAGGAGAAAAATTATCAGAATATATTATATGAGTAGAAATTTTTTCTAAGTTTTCTTCTAAGTCTAAAGCTTAATTAATTTGAGACACTTTTGTATTTTCTAACAAAGTTTATTATAAAGTCTAAATTTTCATCAAGTACTGCTAACCCTAACTCTAACCCACTTTTGATACATTATATTTTGTTATTTATTATAATTTTTCTAATTATCATGCAAATTGATTATCTTAAGCCTTGCTAATATTTTTGTTCTATAGTCTAGTTTGTCTTACATCAGTATCTTTCATTTCTATATTTTCATTAGTGTTACATGGTACATAACTTTTGAAGTTTTAAACTTTTGATCTATTTAGTATATTTGTACACACACACACACACACACACACACACACACACACACACACAGAGTTTTGTTTTGTTTTGCCTTTTGACAACAGTTCATGTGTCATAGACCAGCTTATAATTAACCATATACCCTAGGCCAGTCTCAGAGTGCAACAATTCTCCTGTTTCAGCTTTTCAAAGTGCTGAGATTACAGGCATGAGCCACTGTATCTGACTTATTTTTAAATTTTAAAATGAGTTGCTGTAGGCCTTGTATAGTTTGATTGTTGCTTTTTTCTCTGATGTGACATTTATTGTGTTTTAATTGGAGTATAAATTCTATTTGTTTACAATGTGGAATTGATGTGGTTGAATTAAATCCAGGGTTTTGCAGTTTGTTTTCTAGTTCTCTTACTAGCTCTGTTTTCCTCCCCTTTTCTATTTAATTGCGAGTTTTAAAAACTGATTTTGCCTGCTCTCAGCATTCCTTAGTTGCCTACAGTTCTTTGTGTAGGGTTCCTGCCTCTTGGGCTCTGCCCTCCACCCCCACCCCCAGTCTATTGTTGTCCTTGGAGTAAAGGAGAGGGGAAATGATGTAATTATAATCTCAAAAAGACGTAATTTTAAAAACGGATTTCATTTGATCTCATTGGTAGACATATGACTAACTAATTAGCTTACTTATTTAGTAATTTTAAAAACGGATTTCATTTGATCTCATTGGTAGACATATGACTAACTAATTAACTTACTTATCTAGCCTCAGCACCAGAAGTAGTGCCAGAACCACCTTTACCAGGAGATACTTTTCCTCACTACTGAGACAATGTTTTTCTTAGTGTTTTGCATGACTGTTTTGTGGATTTTAGGGGTTCTCATTTTGGATGGTGGGAGCATGAAACATTCCTGGTCTCACTTAAACGTGCCTTGTTTTGTTCTTTTTTGCTTTATTCTTTAAGAAGGAGTTAGCTTATTTTGGTGTTGTCATTTGTTTGCTTTTGGTCTGGTTTCTTCAAGAAGTATCTTATTTCTTTCTCAGTTTTTTCTTTTCCCAGTTTCAAATAGCTTCCACAACTGTATTCCATGTTCCATACTTGCTCCACTCCGCGCTGCTTTTCTGCTGATCTCTGAAATACTTCAGCAAGTGTCCTTTTCACTGTGCTTTGAGGCCTTGTGAATTCTCCTTGTTCTGAGCCTCCCTCACTTCCTTCTGTCTTTTCAACAAAGGGAATCTGCTCGATTTCATAGCCCTGTAGTGTGGTCTGCCTATTGGCTAGAGAGTGCTCTGGAGCAGTGAGAAAGCTTACAATCTTCCTACAGTTTTCCCTCATTCCTTACTTTTCTCCTTTGCTCCCTATATGGCTTATAGGTTAACTTTCTTTATATGTAAACATTTCCCTTTTTCAGGAACTACTACCATTCCTCATTTGATATGCAATGTCTGAAAACTGTAGTGTTCATGAATGTAGTTACACCAATGTTGTTTATACTTTTTAATTGCTTGGGTGGGAGGATAAATCTGCTCCCTGTTTCTTCACTGTGGCTGGGAATAGAAGTTTTCATGCAATTTTTTGTCTTTAAGAAAAGAAGCAAATGATAACTGTATACAGAAATATGTCATTTGGTAAGGAATACATCAATAAAATTTGTTCTGTGGTGTTTTTTTTCCCTTATTATAATCTTTTGTCTTTTTTCTTTTCTCTTTTGTTCCCTCTTTGACTTATAGGTTAACTTTCTTTATGTAAACTGAAAAATATATTACGATTATTTCTTCATATCTGTCTTTTAAATCATATTTTTCTATGTAGAAACTATTTTATATATCATGTATTAATCTATTTATAACCTATTGGTTTTAAAATATGGTTAGAAGGGCTTTTTAATATACCAATATTGCTAACATATTTAAATATATTTGAATTCTTTTGTTGTGAGACTCTTTCTGTGTAGTCCTGGCTGTTCTAGAACTCACTATGTAGAGGAGGCTGTGCTGGAACTCATAGAGATCCTATCTCTGTTTCCCAGTGCTGAGATTAAAGGCATGTGCCACCATGCCTGGCTAACAGATTAAACATTTCATGATTTCATTTAGTACATTGAAATCTTTCAATTGTTTGAACCTACTCTAGGGAAAGAAATGTTTAGTCAGATAAATATTAAAAGAAATGAGATGTGTCTGGATTCTCAACTCTTGTTTGACTTTAATGGGAAGGAAACTCCTTCCTTCTGATGCTTTACTATAACTCTTCTAATTGTTAGAATATTACTTATGCTGTATAATTAAGTTTATGTAAAGTAAAATATTTCAATTCCTTTTAAATTAAGGACAATGAAGAATCAAAACATTAATTGCTAAATAAGTCAGATTCTCCTTCCCTTTAATCTTTGTGCTAATTCAGATGTTAGAGTCCTTGACTTTATTGTGTTAGACTTGGGAGGCCTGGTGTTGACTGTTACTGCCAGCATGAAAGTGGTGCAGCGGTCCTGCAGCTCCAGTTCCTCATCAATGAGGTAAGGTGTTTCTTTTTGTTTTCACTATTCCAAACACACACACACACACACACACACACACACACACACACACACACACACAGAGTAGTTTTGAATATTAAAATGCAAATATTCACACACTCACAGAGTATTACAGGTTGAATATTCCCTGAAGAAAACAGGTGGGTCTAGAAAGTCTATGGATCTTGGATTTTAAATTTTGGAATATTTGCATATATATTGAGATACCTTGGAGAATCTCAGATCTCCAAGATCTAAGGTTAGATCTAAACATTAAGTTCATTCATATTGTTTGTATACCTTATACACATAGTTTGATGGTAATTTTGTATACTTTTTAATGCTCTTGTATTTTTAATGTAACCATCGGAGATCAGCTATGGAATTTTCCCTTTGTGGAAAAGTTTAACTTTTGGAGCATCTAGGATTTTGTATATTTGGAATATGAATAGTTAACCTGTAGTTGATATAATTATTTTTGATATTATGATTTTTGATATTTAAAAATATATATGTATGTATTATTACTGAAATTCACATTTTTCATATTTCCTATGTTAAATTTAAAATCTAAATTTAATACTAAACTTAATAAGAAGGAAATATTTGATCTAGTGGAAGATCCTTTTATTGTGACTGTGTATTATAATTTTAAAAATTGTTTAATATTTTCTAAACCATTAAGCTTTCTACTTACTCTCTTCCCCTAATTCAAATATTTTGCTTACATCTTCATTGAAAGTATATTCTTATTTACGAATAGCTTTTATATGTATAATCCATTCATCTTTTATTTGTATATATACATTTATCTTTTATTTTCATACACACTTGTTGGTTTATGTGTGCATTTTATTTGTGTGTCCATAGGCATCATAGAGATTAGCTTTCTAAATTTTTAGAAACAGAATATGCATTTATAAAGCTAAGAAGGTTTGTAGTTTTTACTTAGTTGAAGGCAACTTAGAGTCATCTGAACTCAGATTTTCTGAGTGATTCCTGCCATTGTGTACAGCTCTTTCATGTTAAAAGAACCAGTCAGTAGGACAACCAGTAATGATGATAATAGCAAATATTGACTTGACTTGTCTCAGACTCTTCCAGAGGGCGATGATAAACCTTTTGCTGACCAGTCAAACATATTTCCTCTGGTAGGAACCCTTGTACAGGGTATCAGAGACACAAGGAGGAGAACAGGAAAATAGCAAACATCAGTATGATAGCCAGTCATTCTGCTCTAAAGTGCCCTCCGTTATTAGTTCCCATGCTACTCTGTAGTTCCTGGTAGAGGGACCTCAGCCTTCTGCCTTCTGCAGATATATTCTACTAGGCATGATTTGCTTTTAGTTTCTCAGAATTGTCTTTGAGGCCCTATGTTTGCTCTTGTGCTATATGAGGTTATGTAACTAAGTAAATAAAGGCAAGCTTCAATCTCCTTGCTTTGTTTTCATTGTTTATCATGAACTACCTGCTCCAATGCACCCCATAACAATTTCTGGATTTTTCCCTCATTTTCCAGTTTCTGACTCCATGGTTAGTGTTCCTTATTTGCAGGTTTACATTTTTTTTTTTTTTGCAAATCTTCAGTAGTACTGATGGATGGTTCATTTTGCTTCTGTAAATGAACTATAGATACTCTGCTTATGAACTTACTTTGATTTATATGTTTGGTGGTCCACTGATGTTGTTACACCCTAGTCTTATCATAGACTTAATAATACTGATTTTCTTTGTAGATTAATCAGATGTCACACAGAAATATTATTCAGTTTATGCTGTTACTTACTTATTTATTTTTATTTTTAGGTTTTTAGAGACATGGTTTCTCTGTGTGTAGCTCTGGCTATTCTGGAACTTGCTCTGTAGACCAGACTGGCCTCAAACTCAAGAGATCAGCCTGCCTCTGCCTGCTGGTTGCTGGGATTAAAGGTGTGGGCTACCATCACCCAACATGCTCTTCTATTTTAGTTCTGTTGTCCTTGATATATTTTTTGTGTGTTGCAGAAAAGTATCTATTATAGATCATGTTTTTACCAATTTCATAACAATAAGTTCATGTTTCTATTGTTACCTTTTCCCAAGTGAATGCCTACCTCTCTCAGAAATGAGATCATTATTCTGTACTAAGTTTAAAAGTTTTAGTTCATTAAATGATTTCAAGAAATATTAATAATTTTTGTTTATATCTAGAGAGCATTTATGCATTTATAAACAACTCATACAAACAAATATAAAAATTCTCAAAGCATATATAAGGCAAATCTTATTGCATGGTATGAAATAATTTATGAGTCCATGTTAAAGTATATATTAATGTATACCCTTTGGACATTTATTTACATATATAAATATGAAAATTATATAAATATTATTGAAAATATTCTGATTATAATTTGTTATAAAGATATTCTGTTATGAGATCCAAATTCCAGATATATGATATAAAGAGAAATATCATGGTGTACTTTGCTGGCTAGTCTTATATTAACTTGACACAAGCTAGAGTTACCTGAAAGGAGAGAACTTCAATGCCTCCATATGATCCAGCTGTAGGGCATTTTCTTAATTAGTGAATGATAGACCCAGCCCATTGTGGGTGGGGTAATCCCTGGACTGCTGGTCCTGGGTTCTATAAGAAAGTGGGTTGTGCAAGCCATGGGAAGCAAGCCAGTAAGCAGCACCCCTCCAAGGCTTCTGGATCAACTCCTGCCTCCAGGTTGCTGTCCTGTTTGAGTTCCTGTCCTGACTTCCTTCAATGATGAGCAGTGCTGTGCAAGTGTAAGCCAAATAAACCCTTTTCTCCCCAGGTTTCCTGGGTCATGGTGTTCCATCACAGCAGTAGTAACTAACTAAGCCAAGTTGGTATCAGCATAGTGGGGAATTGCTGTGATAGACCTGATCATGTTTTGGGGAGGATTTGTGGAAGGACTTTGGAACTTTTGGCTACAAAATTCATTGAGTGTTGAGAGTTCAGTGGGATGTTGTACAGGAGCTTGGAAGATAAGACGTTGAGAGCAGTGCAGAAGATGGAGGCCTGTCCTGTGAAGTTCTCAAGGGAAGTTTAAAAACTCTATCAGGGCTGTTTGCTCTTTTGAATTTAGATTGTAATTCTGGCCAACTGGGGCTGAATAGATGGCCATGATTAACAAGAGACTAGAACCATTGAAATGAAACCTTTGTGTTACTGGGAGAGTTGTTGCTGGTTAGCTGGAGCTGAGAAATTAGTGCTGATTAAAAAGAAACCAGTATCATTGAGGTGAAATCTTCTGGAAACTGTTTCCTCAGAGTCAGAACACAGAAGCTGTGTTCCAGAGATGGACAAGATTGTACCTCTCTCCGGCAGCTGAACTTGGTAGTGTAGGAGTCACCCAGGTGGTACTGGTTTTGAAGGCATGAAGGGGTCATGGTGAGCAGCCAAGACACTGTGAGAGACCAGAAGAGGCAATTATTGAAGGTGCAGCCTCAGTGGCAATTGAAGGCCCATGACTGAAGGGGTCATGCAGAGAAGCTGAGGCTTGTCTCTGTGAAGCTAGCCTATGAGAGGCTGTTGGTGACAGTGCAGCCCAGTTGCAGCAGAAGACCTCAGCATTTTGAGATATCAGTATCATGGGATGACCAGCAGCAGCAGCAGCAGCAGCAGCAGCAGCAGCAGCAGAGTGGAGCCAGCTGGAGTCTAGAAGACAAGCTGAGTGTGCTGCAGAGGGTGGAGCCAGAGAGTAACCGAAGCACTTTGGAGGAGTCCAGAAGATCATGAGTGGATCCCAGACAATGGACAGTTGGAGTTTGGTTTTGCTTTAATTTGATTGTGACTGTGCCCTGGTTCTTCCCTCTGGAAGTAAAGTATTTTACTTATTTTTGATTTTACTGGAGCCCAATTGAGAGACCTTGAATTTTAAAAGACTTTGGATTTTACAAGAGATTGGCTACTATTAAAGGGACTGAAATTTCAATGTGTTTGAACTTGTAAAGACTGTAGGACTTTTAAAGTTATTTAGGTTATTAATGTGAGATCTTGGGGACAATTAGGAAAGGAAGAACTGTGGCCTAATAGTGATGTTTGTGTTAAGTTGGTAAGGGGTCAGTTGTGCTGGCTAATTTTATGTCAACGTGGTACAAGCTAGAAGTTACCTGAAAGGAGGGAACCTCAATTGAGAAAATACTTCCCTAAGGTCCAGCTGTAAGAAATTTTTTAAATTGGTGATTGATGAGGGAGGGACCAGCCCATTGTGGGTGGTTCCATCCTTGGGTTGGTGGTCCTTGGTTCTATAAGAAAGCAGACTGAGCAAGTCATGGGAAGCAAGCCAGTAAGCAGGGTTCTGTGGCCTCTATATCTCCAAGTTCTTGCCCTGTTTAAGTTCCTGTCCTGACTTCCTTCAAGATGAGCAGTGCTGTGAAAGTATAAGCCAAACAAACCCTTTTCTTTCCAAGTTTCTTTGGTCATGGTATTTCATCACAGCAGTAATAACCCTAACTGAGACAGGTACAGTGTTTTTGGTTTATGAATTGTTTCAGAAAGACATTTAGAGTCTTTCTCTTAATTTCTGGACCGGAAATAAAGTTGGAAATTTTAAAATAAGTTTTTATATAGAATATAAAGGAGAATGTATGTGTGTGTGTGACTGAGGTTGTAGACTATGAAAGATTACTTGTAACAAAGTTGTTTGGGAAAGATATGAAGCATTTTAGGTATCTCAAGATCAACATGTGTCTGCCAGGTCACTATTAGAGAACCCTTAGTACTCTCGGGTTCAGGTGTCATTTCAGTGAGGAAGTTATTACTACAGTAAAAGTTCTGAATACTTAAGATGACCTTTAGATGTCAGTGATATTGTGTGTGTGTGTAAAATTGTATATGACAGTTATCTGTACATATGCTTTCTGTTACTTCAATGGTAGAATATATTCTATTGTATTTAAGATAGGATTAATTTTTAATTGGTGGTATAAGGCAAAGGATTTTATTATTATAGTTGTGCTTAATTCAAGGTGAAGAAATATTTTATTGTAGGTGTTTTTTAATATCACAGATAAAGCTTTTTAGACTGTAAGCAGCAGGTCAAATTTAAAATATATAATTTTAAGAAACCATATATACTTTTTAGATACAGAGAAAATAGTTTCAGAGGATAAACTTTTATGACCTATAATATATTTGATTGATAAAACTGGGTTGGATATTGGCTTCTCTGTGAAGTTATATATTATTTATGTGAATAGTAGAAACAAAACTTTTTTTTTTTTTTTTTTTTTTTTTTTGGTTTTTCGAGACAGGGTTTCTCTGTGTAGCTTTGCGCCTTTCCTGGAACTCACTTGGTAGTCCAGGCTGGCCTCGAACTCACAGAGATCCGCCTGGCTCTGCCTCCCGAGTGCTGGGATTAAAGGCGTGCGCCACCACCGCCCGGCGAAACAAAACTTTTAAACTCTATTTTCTTAAAGGAAATAGAAGAAATCCCCTTTAATGGTCACAATGATGTTGTCCTAGTTTGCCTTTAGCTGCTGTGAGAAATACCCTGAGCAAAAGCAACTTGGAGGGGAATTGTTCAATTTCATCTAACAGGCTATAGTCCATTCTTGAGGGAAGTCAGAGCAGGAACTCCAGAAGGGCAGTAACTTGAAGCAGAAGCCATGGAGGAATGCTATTGACTGGCTTGCTCCCTCTGGCTCATGTTTAGCCAGATTTTTCTTTCTTTCTTTCCTTAAATAAAATTTTTTATTCATTTTACATACCAATCGCAGATCCTGCTCTTACCCCTCCTCCTGCTCCCCACCCTCCTCTACCCCCTTTCTTCCAAAAGAGTAAGGGCTCCAATTCGGAGTCAGCAAAGCCTGGTACATTCAGTTGAGGCAGGACCAGCCCCTCCCCACTGCATCAAGGCTGAGCAAGGTGTTCCATCCTAGGTAATGGGCTCCAGAAAGCCAGCTCATGCACCAGGAATAGATCCTGATCCCTCTGCCAGGAGCCCATCAAACAGACCAAGTTATACAACTCTCTTCAGTATACAGAGGGCCTAGTCCAGTTTGTGAGTTTTTATATAACCTGTGACCACCTGCCTAAGGGTGGGCATTGCTTATAGTTTTCTGGGCCCTCCTACATCTATTAGCAATCAAGAAATACACCACAGACATTCCACAGGTGGATCTGATGGAGGCAGTTCCCCAGTTGAGAGTCTTCCACCCAAGTGACTCTAGCTTATATCAAGTTGATAAAAAGTCTAACCAGTATGTGGGGTGTTTACCCACCACCCACACAGTTCCCCAGAGTTTTCTTGAGTGCGAGCAACAGGAAATATTAGATAGAAAGATTTATTGCGGAGAATATTGCGGAGATAAACAGATAGAAAATAAAGGATAGCCGCAAGAGGGCCTGGAACCTATTCCAACGGGTCCTGACTGTCTCTGCCCCAGGGTTTTTATAGAGATGCCAAGGGGTGGAGCAAAAGACCTCCTCCCCCAGCACAGCCAAGTACAGACCATCTCAGACACCTGCACTCAGGCCCGTGGTCCTAATCGTCCTCTATGCGGACCTGCTGGGTAAAGCCACAAGGAACCCGAGAACGGGCTCCCACACCAGTATAGATGGTATCTTGATTATTCCTCTCTAGTAGTAAAGGGGTTTTCTGAACAAGTCATCCTGACCATCCATATGTAGTAAGTCACTTGCCTCTCCAACTCAGTATTCTTAAACTTTCATGCTGTAATTTTCCTTCTTTTTTCTAGGTTACATAAACACATATCTATTCAAGCAATGTTAAATCTGTAAATTTATTGTTTCTGTTGTCCTATTAGGTAAGATGAATACTTTGTTTTCTTTTGTCACAGGGCGCTTTGGTTAGTGCGAGTTCAGATGATACACTTCATTTGTGGAATCTGAGACAGAAAAGGCCAGCCATTCTTCATTCCCTTAAGTTTAACAGAGAACGGTAAGAGCATTTGTGAATTACTGTTATGTATGACAGAACTGCTTCTCGAGAAACTTTTATGCTAGCTTGACAAGCTTTTTCTTTTATAAATCTATGCTATAGCCTGATTTTTTTTCATAGAAAATGAATAACTGGGATAGGTTCAGCCACTTACGAAAATGTGAAAACCTAAACTTTTTGTTCTCTGAGCTATTGAACATCACTCCAGCAATTGTGTTTTCTTTTCCCTAGGCTATGGCAATGAAAACTTAGACCTAAGATTTAAAAATGAAGTAAAAACAAATGATTTCCCATATTTTTATTATTTCAGATATCTCCAGCATTCCAACCCTGACCCTCTTGCCAAAATACTTTTTAGCAGTAATGTCAGTTCTAATTAAACACTGAATTTTAGCATTGCCAAAGATGGTACTTTGATCAAAATTCAGTTCCCCTCATTTTAGAATGATCACAGCCAGGGGTTTATTTGAATGCAAACAGGAGAAGTTATTTTATTTGTAATAAATTGTATGACATGATAATATTTCCAGTGTTGGATTCAATTAGACCTAGACATATGTACATCCACTTAACTAACAGTCATCAGTGATTGAATAAACACTGAGCTATACCTTAACTATATACAGTAGTCTATCTACTACTTGGGAAGCAACCAGACTTCTTAGAGTGAGTGGAAAAGCACAGCACAGGAACAGTTGATGTTAATGACAGGAGGAGAAGCCTTTGAGAAGTAACTTTATACAGATTGTCACCATTCAAACCAACATGGGGCTTATTTTATTGCATAAGGGTTGGTAAGGAATCACTTCTATTTTGGCAGATCTTAATGAAGCACATATGTTTTTTCATTCAATAACTATATTTATGCTATTCATTAATTACATTAATTGTATTGGTTAATTACATTCATGATATTATGTCCTGATACTACTGTCCATTTGTGGGACTTTTCCATCACGCAAAACAGAAATTCTATATTTACAAAATCATTGCTCTATATTCCTTTCTTTTCCATCTTGAGATAATGCACATAAGTTTATATGAATATGAGAAAATAGAATGGTAGCTATATAGAAATTACTCATTATACTTTTCAGTATTTTTATCTTATGTGCATAATATGTGAGGATTAAACCATCAACTCTAAATATTCTGAGTAAAATTCATGGGTATTGTAGCTCATTACTTTATGAATTAGCATCTTTATATCTAGTATTTTTTATAATGAAAAAAATTAACACAAGAATTTACCGCTGGGCAGTGGTGGCACATGCCTTTAATCCCAGCACTCAGAAGGCAGAGGCAGGTGGATCTCTGAGATCAAAGCCAGCCTGGTCTACAGAGTGAATTCCAGGACAGCCAGGACTATGCAGAGAAACCTTGTCTCAGGAAAGAAAAAAATTTACTAAAGTTAGTTAAGGCTTCTTTCTCTAGATTAGGCTGATTATTTTTCTACTTTATTTTGTAGGAGAAATTGTTTTCATGAGTACAGTAAAGGAACAATGGGCCAGGCAGTACCAAGAGCATGGTGTGCTATCTTAATTTAAATATAAAATAAGTAATACAGTAGAAATGTAAGGATATTGAAAAACTGTAAGATCAGTTCAGAGGTGCTATACTGCTATTCCACTAAAACTATCACCTATCCAGACTGTCATGCTGTTCATCTCTATCTGGTCATAAGATTTCTTTGAGGGAGGGGAGCTGGGGGATGATTCAGTTGGTCAGTGCCTGCTGTGCAAGCGTGAGGACCTGAGTTTGGATCCCCAGTATCCCTGCCAAAGCTGGACCCTTGGGGGGTGGTGGGGGGTGGAGACGGGAAGATGCCTGGAGCTCGCTGGCCAGCTAGCCTAGCAAATCTGTGAGCTTCAGGTTCAATGAGAGTGGGTCTGTCTCGAGGGGGAAAAAGCGCTACTGTGATAAAGGAAGAAACCTGCTAAGAACCTCTGACCTCAAAACACATCCATGTGTACATGCACGCCATGTGCACACATGCATGTATGACACACACACACACACACACACACACACACACACACACACACAAGATTTTTTCTTTTCCATCGTTTTGAGTAAACCTGACTTTTGTATTGATGGACAAAGTGCATTATTCATTTTTTTTTGTTTCCTCACTACTCATACTTTAAAGGGAATATTATGGTCCCCTTTATGACTTTCTTAAAAGAAAGAAATGTTGATGATCATGCTTTCCGGCTTATAATTTTATTATCTCAGTTGAAGTGAGTTAATTGGTTAGCAACCTAAGGAGCAAGCTGACAGGTTTGGTACAAGTTTACATCCTAGGAACTCTAAAAATTATTTTGTTTTAAAGGATTTAACATTTTTAATTTTTTTATATATATTTCTTTTTTTTCCTCCTTTTTTTTAATTCTTTTTTTTTTTTACTTTGCAATACAATTCAGTTCTACATATCAGCCACGGATTCCCTTGTTCTCCCCCCTCCCGCCCCCCTCACCTTCCCCCCAGCCCCCCCCCCATTTCCACCTACCTCCTCTGTTTGGGAGGCATCCAGCCTGTGGGACCTGGTCCTGTGCTCATTGCATGAGTTGACTGTTTGAAACCTGGGGCCTATGCAGGATCGCTTGGCTCGGCCTGGGAGGAGGGGACTGGACCTGCCTGGACTGAGTCTACAGGTTGATCTCAGTCCTCGGGGGAGGCTTTGCCCTGGAACATTTTTAATTTTTAAATTCAATATATATGAGTGTTTTGTTTGCATGAATGTCTGCACACCATGTGCATGCCTGATGCCAATTGAGGCTAGAAGAGGGTGTCAGATCCCCTGGATTAGTTACTGATAGTTCTGAGCCACCATGTAGGTGCTGGAAATTGAACCTGGATCCTCTGGAAGAGCAGCCAGTGCTCTTAACTATTGAACCGTCTCTCTAGCCTCACACTCTTTTGTTTCAGTACTTACAAAATATACAATTTTTCAAAATAAATATTATATATGTGCCATCATGTGACTTAAGTATGATTATATCTCCTGATTCTTGGGTTCCTTTCAAATACACCTTAGAATAAAACATAAAGAAGTTACTCTTTGGTAATGTGAGCAAAGCAATGAATAAAACATTCCCATTTTAATTATATTAACAATCCTTGCTATCACTGGTCATAAATTTTTGTAATGTTAGAGAAAGCAGAGTGTCTGACATTTTTATAGATGGAATTCAATATGTAAACTGTGATTTATAGACCTTAAATTATTTGGACCTATTATGTCAGTTCACAATTTCTGTCTGTGGTATTCTGTTAATTTAGCCAAAATATGTCCAAGGAATATCAACTAAAATAAAGGGAAGGGATATTTTGCTAACAATTCTATAACTAAAAAACTTCTAGAAAACTCAATTGCCTTCCTAGAACAATTTGAAATGACTTATTTTTTAATTTCTGGAATAATATGTTTACTTTGTTTGATGTTTAAAATATACAAGATTTCATATACCAATGAATATTATTTCTCCTACATGGCCTAGTAAATTTCCAGCTCATATGTATTTTCTTTTTGTTTGTTCCCATGCCATCTCTCAAGCCTTCCTTTCCCCACTGTATCCCTTTGTCTCCAATATTTCCCTTTTCTATTTTGTTCTCTTGTCTTTCCCAGCCCCACCCATTAAAATCTTTCCTCCACTCACATGGTTCCCTTTCGAGTTTCCTGGCTTTTACCTATATTTATTTCCACCTAGATGCATATATTCAACAATTAGAGGCTAGGATTTGCATATGGGAGAAAACCTCTCTGGAGGCTTTGGTTCTCTGAGTCCATTCCTGATGTTCCCATTCTCTCCTATAATCAAGTTCCAGCATCCTTCTTCATTACCAGTGGCTCTCCAGAAAATTTCAGCACCATCCTAGTTCTATTGAGGAGTTTAACATTTTGTACTGAAGCTCTGTGAGGTTCTCTGCTCATCCAGCAATATAGATGGCTGTTATTGGATTACCCAGCCTCTGCTGTATAAACCAATTCAACAGACCCTTTAACACATGCACACATGTATCTGCATGTGTGTATATTCTATTGCTTCTGTTCTCCTGGAGAACCCTGCTAAATATATGTGGCTCTCAGAGCCTCTCATTGAAGGCGTCACAAGGAAATTATCCACTTTCAGTCTTATTTTGTTGTTGACAACATTTGGGTATCTTGAAAATTGATGGAGGGCCGTAGATTCTTATTGGATGTTGGTTAAAAACTATGTTCTTTTTGTCATATGGCTGTTGTGTAAGAGACTTTCCTTGGGGAGACACAGAACACACATATATCTACTCAACCCTGATAGGAAAACCATGACAGAAAACTAAACTAACAGTTGCACCCAAATCCAACCTGGCTTTAGCAGGGTTATGGGGAAGGGTGATGGATAGGAGCAGAGATGGCTCGAAAGAGCAGCTGCCTCACCAAAGCCCACCCAGAAGAGCATAGCCGGAGACTGGATGAAAGCTGCATTCCTGGAGCTCTCCGCACACCTTACAAGCAGTTCGGCCCATCCAGGAAACAGCTCTATAGCTCAGCTGATCGAGACTCCTCTCCCAGCAGCCAGTCTCTTCCTCCATCAGCTTCCCCCGCCCGTTTCTATAACTCGAGAGTGGGGCTATCCTGAATCTTGAAAGTTTCTGCTTTCCAAGAAGTGTGGTTTGTTTTTTACCCGAAATCCAATGAGCCTCCCCTTCTCTTCTGGAGGAAGTGCTTTAATTCAGAGGAAATTGCTATACAACAATAACCCTCTTTAACAGGTCAGCCAATTGCAGGGCAACTTTCTTCTAAAAACCAATAAGATAGCAAGAGAATAATTCTAGAAGATAGAGGTCATAGTCATATGTAACAATCATGGACATGACATCCCATGATCATTGCCACGTTTTGTTGATTAAAAGCAAGTCACAGGTATTACATACACTCTGGGGCATGAATACTAGGAAGATCATGGAATCTACTCTCCATAGGTCGTGTGTGTGTGTGTGTGTGTGTGTGTGTGTGT